GGTTTTTTAATGGATTAATCCACCAAAAAATAATTTACACTCTTAAAAATAAAGGTGCTTTAAAGGTTCTTCACAGCGATGCCATAGACGAACCATTTTTGGTTCCACAAAGAACCTTTCAGTCAAAGGTTCTTTAAAGAACCATCTCTTTCTTACCTTTTTATAATCTGAAGAACGAAAAATTGAAATCGCATCATATGACCCTTTTAATAAAAATATAATAGTATCTCAATGATACTAAAATAACGCTGATTCAAAAGTTAAATAACAATTAATTCTAAAGTAATGCTGATGAGTGAGATTAATCAAAAATAAGTTTATTAAAAAGTCATGTTGACCTCAAATATAACTTAACAAAAACCAACCCTCATATTTGTTTTCATGCATTTAATTCATTTAATTGTCCTTTGTGACAAACAAAGTCAGGTTTTGTTTCAGTCTGATGTAGTTTCACAAGGACAGGGAACACTGTTAACCAGCAAACGGAGGAAGGAATTATTTGTTGAATGCTCTAGCTTGTAAAAGACAAGAGGACAAGAGGAATAAAATAAAGAGCCAAGAAAGATGAGTCAGAGACTGTGGGAAGAGTCTGATGAAATGAGTACTTGCTTTGAATAGTGTGAAAAAGGGCTTCTGTTCGAGTCATTTGCATCACTGAGTGGGCTGACTGCTGCTGAATCATCCACTTTTCATAATTTTTTATTTATTTTTTTGATACCAACGCTTATGAAGTCAGTAGGTATTTTACTGTGCCTCTGGAGCATTGACTGTCTGGTTTCCACATCCTGTTTCTCGCATTAGGCCCGTAACAGTGATTTCTCTGCTTTTTTTCACTCTCACCCTCTACATCAACTGCTATCATGACAGTTTTCAGGTTTTTTAATGGATTAATCCACCAAAAAATAATTTACACTCTTAAAAATAAAGGTGCTTTAAAGGTTCTTCACAGCGATGCCATAGACGAACCATTTTTGGTTCCACAAAGAACCTTTCAGTCAAAGGTTCTTTAAAGAACCATCTCTTTCTTACCTTTTTATAATCTGAAGAACCTTCTTTCGCCACAAAGAACCTTTTGTGAAACAGAAAGGTTCTTCAGATGTTAAAGGTCCTTTATGGAACCATTTAGACAAAAAGGTTCTTCTATGGCACCGTGAAGCACCCTTATTTTTAAGAGTGTAGTCACCTTTAGATCTTTGTTTTTCCATACAGTGAAAGTGAATGGTGCACAAGGCTGTCGTTTTGTATTTCATGGAAGTAAATAAGACATACAGGTTGGAACAACATGAGGGTGAGTAAATGATGACATAATTCTTATTTTTAGATGAACTACCCCTTTAAAATCTTAACTTCTTGTGCTGTAGTTTCAGCAGAAGCAGATCTGAGGCATGTGTATGCGGTTCTTGTGGAGGAACCCGACCATTAGAATTGCACAATGGCTGATTTCTTATTGGAAGACCAGGTATTTGATACTCTCTCTCTTGACGTTCTCTCATTCACATTTCCTACATCTCTACCCTTGATCTTTCCCTCTCCCTGTCCTTTCTCTGCCTGTGAGGTTTGAGTGATGATAAGAGACAACTAAGCAGTTAACACAGCATTATTATTCAACACTACAGCACCTCCTGTCTTTCTATCTGGGCCATATTGCAATAGCCATTATGGACAGGAGAGGGAGCTAAGAGCTCATAAAACTTCCCACAGCACTTCTAGATCTGTGCCAAACATACTTGGTTGTCATCCCCCTATATCATGATAGCCACATATGAGAAATTTCTGCTGCTTCTGCACCATTATGCGTGGTATTTATCACTCCCTGGGCTGTACGATCTGACAGCGGTGAAAATGCAGACAATGGATTGCAGCCTGAGCATAAAACATTGGTCCTGATGTACTTTCTGATAATGCTCAGGTGATTTTTTGGGTCATCACTTTGCTATTGTGTGACAGAACCAAACCGTCCTGCACTTCAGGCCACCACCACACACACAGAAACTAAATGTGCCGAGTTCACAGGGACAGACCACAGTCTCCCACTGCGTTTGTCATCTCTAGAGTCACTTAGAGGACATCGCGTGCCAAGAAGAACCTAACATACAGAATTCGAATAAATGTTTAAATGTTTAAAAAAAAAAAAGCATGATGGTCATGGATCTGCTGTTTGGGTTCTGGAGCTTCACATAAATTTACATCTGTGCTGTCTTACAAATAAGGGTTCCAAAAGGGGAACCTTTGTGTGTGTGTGTGTGTGTGTGTGTGTGTTTGTGTGTGTGTGAAGAATATTTTAATTATCCAAAGAACCTCTTGAGGAATGAAAAAGTTTCATGAATGTTAAAGGTTCTTCATGGAACCATAGATGCCAATAAAGAATCTTTATTTTAAAGAGTGCATGAATAACCTTTTTCCAATATAAAGAACTCTTTGTGAAATGGAAATATTCCACGGATGTTAAAGGTTCTTCATGGAACCATAGATGCCATAAAATAACCTTTATTTTTTTAGAGCCTTTAAAGAACGTTTTGTGGAATTGAAAGATTCCATGAATGTATAAAAGTTCTTCATGGAAACATAGCATCAAACCTCTTAAAGGGATAGTTCAGAAATGAAATCTCTCATAATTTCCATTTTCTGTAGAATATAAATTATATTTTGAGAACTGTTCTTTTTTTCAGTCATTTGATGCAAATCAATAGTAACCAAAACTATTTGGTTACAGACTTAACTTCAAAATATCTTCTTTTGTGTTTCATAGAAGAATATGAAGGTATACAGATTTGGAACAATGGGAGGGTGAGCAAGAGATGACAAAATTGTACATTTGTGGGTGAACTAAAAAAATCCCCCCTTAGTTATTGTAATGGTAATATCATTTAGGGTCTTCTTAAATTGGAGGCTTTGTTGTGACCAGCTGCTCATCCTGAACTTTTCCTGAACCCACGAGGACTAGGGTTGGTTATATCCCAGTGTACCTCAGCAGTGTCCTGTCCTTATCTCTTTCCCTAAGTGCTCACTGGCTTGGAAGGCTCTGATGCTGCAGCTCTAAAAGACACTCTGATAAACACCATGTTGCCTCTGTTGCCATGGTGACTGGCTGTGCATGGGTAGAGATGCTAGCAGTACAAGCTATGCAAGTTACGGATATATTGTAATGCACAAGAATAGTGTTATGCTTAAGACGCACGTCGATTTTGGCACCTTGGTATGGGTGTGCTATGTAAAAATGGTATTTGAAGTCCTATACCATGCTTTTGGGGTTCTCAAAATGAGAAGCAAAAACTAGAAAAAGCTTAGAAAATATAATTTTGAGGCTTTTTTGATTTGGACTGGTGCAAAAGCAGACATCCCCCACTTTGTTCTTGTGCAGCACTTCTCCAGCTGCAAGTTGTACCACGACACAGCTGTGTCTTTAAATCCTCTCCTTGTGCAAACGATGATATCATCCTCTAAAAACACATTACGTCACCCCTTTCGGGACCTTTCTCATAGCTCCACCCTGCTCTCCCCCCGTTTTATTGGCGTTTTTCAATGCAGAAGCCCTCCTCGTCGTCTGGTTTATTGGTGGAGAAATCACCGGTGTCTGTTTTTTATTGGCTTTTAGCAGTTGTGTCTGTGGCGTCCACCACTGAAATGGGCTCCTCGGCTCAAGACGCGTCGCGGGTAATTTGGGTTTCCTCGAGCGCACGCACTACGTCATACGGACAGCTTCTTATTATGATTGTTTCATGACTAGATATGAAACATAGGCTATATACATCACAAATTATTAGCATTTTTGTAGAAGAAATGCTTTCTCCAGCTTACGAATTATGGGCTTCCTGAGCAGAGTTTGAACCTTTCCAAATGCAGTTGAAGTAGGGTTGGTGTGGCGTTACAAATAGGCTACTATTTTTACTATTTAAAATATAAATGTTTCGACAGCATTTTCAGATGTTTGAAAAGCTAAAAATAAGTTATATTGGAAGCCTGTTTGTTATTAAATTCAGATAGTGTGCGCTAAATATGAACAGGAGGTAACCACTCGTGCGTTTTAGGTCGATATTGCATTTTAAAATCTCAGATGTAATCACAGAAACACATTATGTTTTGTTGAAAATGTCTGTAAGATGGTTCACGGTTAGCTAGTTGTACTAGACGTGAAAAAAAAAAAAAATTTAAGATGCACGAGAAGAACATAGTCTACTTTGCAAATTTAGGCTGACAGAAATTTCTATAAATTTCCACCCTCATGAAAATCTTTTAGACGTGAAAAAAAAAAAAAAATTTAAGATGCACGAGAAGAACATAGTCTACTTTGCAAATTTAGGCTGACAGAAATTTCTATAAATTTCCACCCTCATGAAAATCTTTATATAATAGCTATAGGCTACACGTTATATACACTAATTTGACCACTCGTGCAATACTCAGGTGTGTTCTTGGAAAATGTGTATGTTTAAATAAATAAATTATTTTTAGTATTAAAAAAATGCTTTATAGACTAAACTAATGTTGCTGGTGTTGCCAGACACGTGGAGTGGAAAGGAATATTATGCAAAATATTATTTTACTCTAAACACAATTATCGTAAACTCGACATTTTAAAACCCAATAAAAGCCGCACTTGAGTGATGATGCAATGCAACGCTGAAAAAATGATGTGATAATTGTTAACAAGTGCGGAGGCGCAATACCGAAAGCCCCCGGTAGAGGGAGTGGATGCGGCGACACACAGAGTTCTCAATGGTACCCAGCGCCGCTGACCATTTGGACCTTTTGCCCATGAATGCTCGAGCATCACTCTTAAAATAACACGTCCATCCTCTTACGCGAGGAAAGGTGATGGACCGTGTCATTTACAGGCTTATTATCTCACAGTTACAGTGGCCCTAGCAACAGCTCGTGTTTGTGATCGCCGAAGCAGGCGCGAGTGTTTCTTTAAGAGCCAGCACCTTTACATCGAGAGGGAGGGGGAGAGAGAGAGGGAGAGAGAGACTGGGGTTGTCTGTGGATAGGTGTAACGGTTGGTGCCGTCGTTACATGTGTGAGGAATAGGGAAGGGGGGAGGCTGATAACTGGGCACCCAAAAGCGCTGCGCTCCGATGGGGTCGACGGGGATGAAATGAAGATGATGATGATGTCTAGCGTTTACTCTCGACGATGACAACGGTGAGCGGTGCATATTTCAGCATAGCATGCATTTTCTTATATATGCATGTCTGTGTGTGTGATATCACCCAGCTGTGGAGATGAGGAGGGGGGTGATGATGGGCTACTTGGGAGGAGGGGGCGAGGCGAAAGGATGGGAGGAAGAGCATAACATTTAAAGAAATGTCACGATGCGTTCTTCATTAGACTAGTTAAAATGTAAGCATTTCATTTCGACGGCATGTCACAGTCGCGTATCTGCAGAAGAGAGACGGCACATAGCCTATATCATGATGGAGCGAGGCGAGCGGCGGAGGAATACGTCAACACACACAATCCAGCCCAATTTACACTGAGCGTCGTTTGGGCGAACGGAGCGGTGCTTGCTTTTTATTCTTTTCATCCAGCCGTTCACGTTAGTACGGAATAAACAAGATCAGCAGCAGCAGCATCCAATCACGCTCGGGTTGCCTTTAAACGACACTCGTTTCTTCCTTCTTCCTGCGTTTAGACAGCGGCCACGGACACACACACGCACACACACACACACACACAAAGCGCTGCCAGGCTACATGATCGTTACACATCATGAATTTCATTTCCGTATATCATGCGCATCCATTAGCCTCTTGACTAATAGGCTTTACAGAGCCTGTTAAGAGAAGCGAATACACCGTGGGGCGAACGGAGAATAAAAGCGGTGCGTTGTAGTGTTAGGAAACGGCTGCTGTCTGTGTTGAAGGGAAATTGAAATTAGGTGTGTGTCGGAGAAAGAGAGGGATGAAGTCAGAGAGACGAAACAAATGGAATTGGGTGTTGATTTGATTGTTCTGCATGTTCTGTTCGCGGAAACGAGGCTGATGCGTTGTGTTTATTCGCCTGGACGTCGTTAACATTCAAGACAGGGAGTATTTAGCAGGATTTGTGGCCTGTGCGAGGAATCACTGCTCTATTGATTCTTCCAAATTCCTCTGTGTCGACATTCACTGGAACAGGACGCTCTTTCATGCTATTCCCAGATTTCTGTGACGGGGAAACCCGATGGTTACAATGTTATTTTTAGTTTGATGCTCCCCAATGTGTCTGCCACCATCTAGTGCTGAGTCCTGTGTCGAAGAGCCGAGTGATTTCAGTGCTAACTCCATGTCTCTCACTCAGTGCTTTTACATGCACAGGAATATTCTGATGTGAATCAGAATTTGGTCATATTGTGATTATGTAAGGGTCATGCCAACGCATTGATTGGCATAACCAGATTAATCCAGTGTTTTGGTTTCTGGAAATCTGAATTCGATAGCACATGCTTGTATTATTAAGATTTGTGGGTCATAATGGAATATCGACTGGAACTGAATGTTCTTTTTTATCTTTGTCCAAGCAGAGGTAATTTGTGATATTAGATATAAACAACTCGTAGATTCAGAATGATTGAAGACTTTTACTTTTCTAATGACGATTTTACAAAATTAAAAGAATCATCCTGGCCTGTATTTGTAAGAGTCTCATGACCTACATTTTGCAAATCTTAGTTTGTGTGTTGGGATATGAGAGATATTTCATAAGTTGATTAAATTACTGTTCAAAATTACTAAAATGCGTGATGCACTGTAAGTGGCTCAAGCAAACAGAAAAATGTTCAGGATATGCTGGTACTAATAATTATAAATAATATGTTACTATTTCTGGAGCACATGGAAATCTGTTTTCAGCATAAAGGCTTACCTGGAATATGAACCTTAATCAGAAAATGATGTGCATGTAAATGATGTCACTGTCAAGATTGGCATACAACTTTTAAGCATTACTGTTTTCCATTTAGTGTCTTTTATCACAGTATGTTTTAAAGCTTTACATGACAGCTGAGAGTAACTCAACAGCATAGATTCCCAACTTATCTATCCCAGTGTATTATAACATTTAATGCATTAAAGGTCTGCATTGAAAGCATGTTTTATTAGTAATTGCAAAAGTAAGATATCAGAACAGTTGTCTTTCACCTCTTGCTGTACGAAGCCTTTTTGGTTTTGTTTATTGTATTATTTTCTCCCTATATACTGTCTTGTCTTCCCCTTTTTATCCCCATAGTTTATCAATAAAAGCACTATTAAAGTCTACCGGGAAACTTACTGTTTTGAAGTGGTTTACTCAGAGACTGTGAATTCACTGGATTTGATGTATAATGCTTTATTTCTTAAGGTCTTGCCCAGCTTTGACCATTTGTGCTAATGTCACTCTCCTTTATTTCCCTCTTCAGCTCTCCTTTACTTGAAGTTTGAACCCATTGGGTAGAAGACTCTCCTCCATGCCCACCCTTCCTTTTACCCAATCCAGTCCCTGCGACCCAGCGACTTTCCCCTCCTACTTTCTCCTGCCACTGTTGTTCCACCCGAGACCACGTCCTGCTGCTTCAGCCAAACACACCCAAGCCAAGGATTTTGAACAGCACATACTAAGAGCCAATCAGGAGCCTTGAAGCCATTCAGGAAATAGCAACACAACTCATGAATCTACCTGAGCATTGAGGAAAAAGTAAAGGAAAGAAAGCTGTGGATAATAAACTCATTGTCAAGAAGACAACTCAGATAAACTGGCAGCACGTGTCCACCCTCGAAGAAGAGCACAGCAATTAGGAGTTTCCACCAAGAAAGCGTGAATTGAGGGTGAATTCAAACAGACACTAACTGAGGGACAAGATATAGAGGAAAAGAAAGAGAGAACAACTGCACGCATAATATAACATATCTGCAATACTCACATTCCCTCACACATTACAGACTGTTAAGGCACACGTTCTTTCCACAGACCACACGCTACACCATCCTAGACACCCGCATATGAATGACAAGTTGTTTTATCTCTTTACCATAGGCTCTCAGGCACGCAAACACCGTCAGATTCGCGGTCCCACACTGTGATTCTCGCAAGTTCCTCTTTGCAAACTTGTAGGGCCAAGACATACACACACTCGCCCTTAAACTCTCGCACCTGTTCACGGCCTCAAGATGATGTGTGAGGTGATGCCCACCATCTCGGAGGACGGGCGGGGTGGTGGTGGAGGAGGCCCGTCCTCTCCTGCCGGAGGTGGTGGGGGTATGGGGGGCGGTGCAGGGGGCATGAGTGGTGGCTATGGGGGCCGGGAGGCCCGCGGTGGAGACGAGGGCGGGAGCACTGGAAATCTAGAGTCTCTGATGGTGAACATGCTGACGGAGAGAGAGCGGCTGCTAGAGAGTCTCAGAGAGACCCAGGAGAGTCTCGGCACGGCACAGCTACGTCTGCGAGAGCTGGGTCACGAGAAGGACTCGCTACAGAGACAACTCTCCATCGCACTGCCTCAGGTACACATTAGGGATCCTGTACGTGTGTTTAAAACAATATTTGAAGTTGCAGGAGATTCATAATGTGAATATTCGTAATTATGTTGATATATTGTGCACCTTAATTTAAAATAATATAAATATCATCTTCATTTGGAGTAACATGTTTTAATGGAATACCTGGGGTTCAGTCCAATGTATACTCAAACGACAGCATGTGTGGTTAATTACTACAAGAAATAATTTCCACTTGTTTAAAAAAAAAACAAAAGAAAAACAAGCAAAAACTTGGGTTATAGTGAGGCACTTACAATGGAAGCAAAATATTTAAAATAATATAAATATCATCTTCATGTGGAGTAACATGTTTTAATGGAATACCTGGGGTTCAGTCCAATGTATGCTCAAACGACAGCATGTGTGGTTGATTACTACAAGAAATAATTTCCACTTGTTTAAAAAACAAAACAAAAGAAAAACAAGCAAAAACTTGGGTTATAGTGAGGCACTTACAATGGAAGCAAAATGGGCCAATCTGTAAACAGTAAAATACTCACAATTTTTTTTTATAAAAAAAAAGAGAAATAAAAAGAGAAGATGTGCACAATATGTGTTAACATGATTTTAGTGTGAAAAGGTCACTTAATAACCTTTTCTGTGTAAAGTTATATTTGATTTTACAATGTTCCCATAACAGTGCAACACCACAAACAAACAATAATTTATATAGATTTACAGTACTGCTCAAGTAATACACAGGTTTTAACAGAAGAATTGATGTAAGTGCTTTTGCAAACTTATAGCTTCACATTTCTGCTTTTAATCCTCCAAATTGACCCTATTGTCTTCCTTTGTGCGTTTCTTACTGTAAAGGTGCAGTCACATGAGCAAAATATCAAAATCTTGTGGGCAAAAAAAGGTCCATTGTCTGTTGTCAGTAGCCTAGCTATGTATAAAGCATAGTTCACACAGAAGTCACTTTCTAATCAAGCAGCTTTCTCTTTGGTCAGCACAGCGAATACTTGTGACCAACCTGAAAATTAGCAAATTTTGCATTCGTGTTTTCTTCCCTTGTGCAAAATTCACATGGATTCTTATTAAAATGACACTATTTAATTTTTTTAGATAAAGGTTGAAACAGTTTTTTGGTGATAATTAACGACACAAATGCTGTCATTTCAGCTTAAAGAGGGAATTTACTGCTGGAAAGATGGCTTTTAATAAAACTTGGCTGTCTATGCAGTAGAAATGCGAAAAAAAAAATGTAATCTGTGATACATGACTAAAGAAAACAGAGAAAAAGGGCTGTGACGTTTTCTTTTGCCAAGAAGTTCAACATCCATAATGCACATTTGGTTTTGATGCCGCCCTGTGATCTGACTGTCTGTGGGCAGGAATATGAAAATGCGGACGTTCAATCTGTAGTTTTAACAAATGCTCTGGAGCTGTCAAATGTCTTCAGGTCCTGGAGGTTATGGAGCTGACTTTTGCTGAACAATCACCGATAATCAAATATCGATATATCAAATATATCGGGTGCAGGTAACACAGAGAAAGAGTACACATTGTTCATTTATATTTGCAACATTTTAACAATACAAAGCTGCTTGAAAATCTGTTGAACCTAGAATATTCCCTTAAGAATTTCTTGGACTGAATAGTTTGCTTGGAAAAACAGGTCATTGAGATGAACCATGTCTGAGGATGAGCTGCCAGTGAAGTATAAGTGATGTTGCATACAGACAGATGAAAAGAATTTCAAAGAGTCAGAACTCAGCTTGTCTTGTTAGTATCATGTCCTTTGTTTGCATTGGGCAGTCTGTATGTATATTTGTCTGATTTGGCTAACATTTAAGCCAATCTTAGTCTTCCAGACTTGCTTTTCTGGTCCTTTTTGCATCAGGTCTTGAACTGTTTTGTCTCCTCTGATCTAATTTAAGGTGTTCCACATATCTTTTTGAGATTATCTGTTTATCTATGATTATGTGACCTGTTTTACAAGTCGGGATGCTACATTTTAAGTCTTTTCTCTGCAGTATGTCTTATTATAGGAGAGTTGTGTTACGTTTAAATGGTACAATTACACAGGAACAAAATAAAAGCAGTACTTTTAGTTTAGTATTTTAAGTCGCTTACTTTGTCACTGTCATCCTTGCTGCCTGTTTGCCACTATATATATATAGTGCTGAAAGACATATATGTACACTGCAAAATTTGGAGAGCGACAACCACTTTGATTTGTAGTAAAGTGAATCCTGAAGTTATGTTGTGTGTGTAAAAAATAAGGAGTCCCTTCTAATATCCCAAACTCTCTGGACCACAATGTTCCTAGTGGAGAGAAGAAAAAAAAAGCTCTTTGCATAATGTGTGGGTTTCATTAAAATTCAGTTGTCATTACCTGAATTTTCAGGTGGTACATTTGTTTGCAGTGACATCCGAGTGTTCCTGTGTAATTGTACCATTTCAGCGTAACATTACTCCTTCTCCATAAAAGCACATTGTACAGAAGAGAGACAACAGGATACTACTTGAGTCACAGTGTTGAACTTAACTTTTCTTCATCAGCAGTCTTGTTTTACAGAATATATCAATATTATTAGCTTGTATTTCTTACCCTTTAGTAAACATTTTTTTCCCCCTTTTCACCATAGATTGAACAAAATATGTCAATTATTTTGTTATCTTTTTGGTAGAAACAAGAAACAATTTCCTAATGGTGTAAGAGAGTAATTTAACATATATTCCTTGAAAACAATATATTTTGCAGTTTTTCATCCCAAGTAAATGTATCTAGATGTTTAAATATTTTTACAGGTAAATAAGACAAAATACCAGTTAACAAAAATAATTTTGTGAAGTCTAAAGAAAATATACTTGTTACAAAAGAATTTGTTAATCAAAACCTGTCAGAAAAGTCACAATTCCAAGGCGACCCACAAATGTGTGACAATTTGCAAATACAGATTGAACAATAAATTATTAAATGCAAAAACACTGAACAATTTATCAAAGCATATTAATTGCATATTTATGAATGGTGTTTTGTTCATGTGAATTAGGTTACACGTTCATGCTTCTGTATTTGTGAACATATTCATTTTTATACATTTCTAACACCATATTTGTATGCCAATTAAATATCAATGACTGTATCACTGGAAACATTTTGGGACAGACTGCCACCAACGTGTGGCTTGAAATAACTGTTGGGTATCAGAGAGACCCATTTTCTGGGAGAATGACTGGATATTTAAGGGGCATAGCAACACAGAGAGAGGGAGAATCAATATCTCTCTCTCTCTCTTTCACACACACAAACATATGCAAACACTCTCTGAAATAAGCAGACACATATTCAGAGCAGTGATACATTAAGCAGGGTTCAGTCGGTGCATCCCATCAGTTTTGGATGCATGAGAGAAAAGCAAATCGAGAAAGCTGAAAAAGAGGACGTAAAGCCATTGTTGAGGTCCTTTGTGTCAGTGGAGCCATAGCAGGAGCTTGAATGAGAGAGAGAAATAAGGCAGGACATTATCACGCAATTGTGTTTGGCATACTTGTGCCAAGCATAATCCTAGTCCAATCTCAGCAAGGTACATTTCCAGAATGCCAAAGTCCTATGGGCCCACTGAGTTACCATCTGTGTACCACTATACCACTCCTCCTTCTCCTCCTTTCCTCTCCTCCTTATTTGCTCCAGCTTCTTTCCCCTATTTTTGCCTGTTGGCAGAAAGTGAGGCGGTTAGATATAGACAGGATGGAGACGTGACCCACCAAACGCATTCATCACGAAGGAAAGGAGACATGATTGGTCGATTTGAGCTCTGAAGGTGCATGCAACGTGATTGGTCGAGAATTGTGCTTCGCTTGTTAAAGACATTTTGATAGGGGTTTGGTTTGCATTGCGGAGGGAATGTGATTGCTTAGTAAGATTGGCTCGGATTCGAATCTCCTTTTGTTTTGAGTCGCTGACTTGATTGATCCAGGATTTGATTCACTTTTAGGTTAAGTTATTAGTGTTTCTTTACATCATCTCGCAAACATATTCAATAAAATGCCAACATCTGCTGTGCGTTTAAGTAAATGGACACACAAAGTACATAATTGCACATGCAATATGGCGATTCTGTCTGCGTATAAGACAGGGAAGGTGTGTGGTGTGGGATTCTTGAGGAAGGTGCCCGATCACATATAGGCGGCTGGAAAAAGATGGTGTGGCTTTAGGCTCGCAGTGGCAGCCGTGTGAGGCCATATGTCATCTTACACAACATGGTGCTATGAAGACCTTACACCCGAGAGTTGCTCATTGGAGTGTTCAGAATGTGGACTTTGTCATCTGTTCACACAGAAGCAATAAAAGTAACAAACTCTGATTCAGTCTCACACGCGCACAAACACGATACCAACATTTGGGCATTTACGATACTGGCCTCAGATTACTGCTGAAATGATGTTGGGCTGTCAATAAATAAAATAATTAATAATATATATCAGTAATAATATCAGTAATTTGCAGAATCTCATGTTTTTTTAAGTCAGTGCATTAGCACATTCAGTTGGGCAGTTTGTTTGCAAAATGTATGCACATATCAAAGGAGGAGGTAAAGAGATGCTCACACACATACTGTAGGTTATAACAACAACAACAACAACAACAAACGCATGGGAAGTGCAAACAAACTCTGAACTCAATGCAAATGTGCAATTATTGAGAAATCTTTCTCTACACTTTTGTAGCAAAGATTTTTCGTCTGCTCTCGTCTGCTGGTCATATTGACGTGTACAGAAATACATTTTAACTTTTGATGATCATTAAATTCTCTATGCAAAGAGTGTGAATGCCTACTTTTCTTGAGCATCCTGTCTGGATTTGGTTTATACTAATAAATTAGATTTATAGATGTTTAAGAAATTTTATTTAAACCAGTGGTTATCAACCTTTTTGGCCCTGAACGATGAGAATGCTGCTTGTTTTCAAACATTTTTAATTCATAAACTGGGAGTGTTGGTGTGTTAAATTATTAAACATGATTCATTTTGTGATTCTATACAATGGAAAATTTTGATTCTGTATGTTTTAGTAAAAACTGATAGTTATTCAGGGGAAAAATGTAACATGCTTTCAACAAGTGATTTAAAAAATCTCACACGTTATTCCATGAGATGTTCACACGTCTCACTCCCATTCATATCTCACTGCCCAAACTGTTGAACTGTGCTGAATTGCAGCATGTTGTCCTCTTGGTCAGGTAACAAAATGAACAAATGATGGTATCGTACCACAGTACCTTTTTGTTTTCAATTGTACTTTTTTATTGTACTTTTTATTACTGTATACTGTGCATCCCTCACACAGACACACATTGACCATTATCCTCACCTTGTGTTAAGTTGGTGTCATCGGACGTTTTTGTAATTGCAGTAGATTTTCTGAATATGTTCTGCTCTTCTATTATTCTTATGGTTTCATTGTTGTGTGGTTAAAGGGATAGTTCACCCAAAAATGAAAATTCTGTCATTAATTACTCACCCTCATGTCGTTCCAAACCTGTAAGACCTTCGTTCATCTTCGTCAGAACACAATTGAAGATATTTTTGATGAAATCCGAGAGCTTTCTGACCCTGCATAGACAGCAATGCAACTGACACGTTCAAGGCCAAGAAAGGAAGTAAAGACATCGTTAAAATAGTCCATGTGACATCAGTGGTTCAACCTTAATTTTATGAAGCTACAAGAATACTTTTTGTGCGCAAAGAAAACAAAAATAATTACTCATTAATATTCAACGATTTCTTCTGTTCTGGGTGATGAATTGAAGGTCTTAGTGGACTGGAACGATGTGAGGGTGAGTACTTAATCGCGATTAATCGCATACAAAATAAAAGGTTTTGTTTAAATAATATATGTGTGTGTTCTGTGTATATTTATTATGTATATATAAATACACACACATACAGTATATATTTTGTATTTACATGTCTATATTTATATTCATATAATTTATATTATAAATAAATATATTAAATATATAAACAACATATTTTTTTAAATATATACATGCATTTGTTTGTATTTATATATGCATAATAAATATACACAGAACACACACATATATTATTCAAACAAAAACTTATTTTGTATGCGATTAATTGCGATTAATCGTTTGGCAGCACTAATATATATATATATATATATGTATATACATATATATTAGCTTAATTTCATCAACAAAATTTGTAATAGTCTTAGTCAACAATATCAGCCCTGGTAAACATATATTGTAGTATCTTTCAAAGTTTTGATATCACTAACCTATCAATCCTAGGCAAATCTAGTGATTATTTCATCTTCAAAGCAGCTAATCTTCTTGTATCAGCCTGCAAACACAACTTTTCAGACAGACTGATAATAAACCCTGTGGGCTCTTACACCTAGTGAAATGGTGTGAAGTCAGCCAATCAGATTAGAGCTTGCCAGATTGAGAAAGTGTGTGTTTGAGTTGTGTGTATGCACTGTGTCTCAGATGGTCAGTGAGTCTGTGGGTGGTTCGTAGGCAGGCTGTCTGAAGCCCAGACTACACGGTGGACACATGTATGTGGTGTATGTGTTTATTTCTGTGTTATGTGTGTGTGGTTTGAGTGATCCATAAATATATTTCAGGCTGACCACTGCACTGGATACACACTCATTGGCTTATTTGTGTTGATTGTTAGGAGCCTGTAAAGATCAGAACAGAGCTTATTTTCTGTTATGTGTGTGTTTGTGTGTGTGACCAGGAGTTTGCAGTGTTGACCAAAGAGCTGAATGTCTGTCGGGAGCAGCTGCTGGAGAGAGAAGAGGAGATTGCTGAGCTCAAGGCGGAGAGGAACAATACACGGGTCAGTAACTCCATAACCATAATCTGTGCGTGTGAAACAGACATCACATCCTCTTTATATCCCCTGCCTGTGTTTGTGGTTTTGTGTTTAGGGCGTTTGTTTTTAATGAAATGTTTTGGCTGGGGTGCGATATCCCACTCCATACCATATCCATTACCATATACTCTATATAGACTAGTTTTCACAAGGGCTTTATCTCAGTAACTAGAGTCAGAAGTCCAGTGACATAAATGGATGTTTTCTGTAGCTAGTTACTAACCCTTAAATGCATCAAATTTAAAATTTTAATTTTCTTTGTTTCATTCCAGTTTACTTTTATATTACTATTGTGGTAGCAAGGTCAACTTGTGTCCAATTTTTCCTTGGAATAATGGTGGAAATATTCCGTTTTTTGTAGACTCTTTAAGGTTTGAGACTTTTTTTTAAATAATAATAATAATAAGACTCTCCTAAGCAGTGTTGGGGAAAGTTACTTTTAAAAAGTAAGTTACTTTTAAAATGCATTACAATATTGCGTTACTCCCTAAAAAAGTAACTAATTACGTTACTTAGCTACTTTTTATGGAAAGTAATGTGTTATGTTTTTTCGAGTTAGTTTTTAAGTCTGGGCAGTTTGTTGCTTTTTTGTTTTTAATATAAAAAATTTATTCTTTTACAAATGTAAAAGCCCTTTCACAACAAAAGTGAAATGAATACGCCTCAGGCTGAAGGAAATGTAAATTCACGTCTGTACAGTAGAGGGCGCAGCTCAAACAAATTGCATGAAGAATATGACGCAGAAGAAGAAAGTTCAAGACTATTCAGCAATAACAAAAATGAAACACAAATGTGTCATTTTTGCTTAGTATGGTTGAATTGGATCATTGAAGGTCAGTATCAAAAACACTAGTTAATAAAATGGGATTAAATACATAAATGATATTTGTCTTATTTAACATATTTAATTATTGCAGGTTTGTATATGTTTTTACTCATTTTGAGGAGCACTGAATATGTTTTTTTCTGCAGGTGAGAGGAGTAAATACATGTTCATGTTTAGTCTAGAGCTACAGTAACATCATGTTCACACAGCAAACACTGTGTGAAAGGCTTCTGCACTTACTCCGGATTTCTCTCAACATGGCAACACGAGAGCTGTCAGTCAAGACATGGGAAACAAAGTAACTGGTGTTACTTATTTGAAAAAGTAACTCAGATATTTCCTTCTAAATTAAAAAGTAATGTGTTACTTTACTAGTTACTTAAAAAAGTAATTTGATTACGTAACTCGCGTTACTTGTAATGCGTTACCCCCAACACTGCTCCTAAGACTGTTCTCTGGGAGTCAATGCTACTCTGGGAAATGTTCACTAGAGTAAAAAAAGGTAAAAACTAGCTCCTGTCTCCCTATTTACATTCTTACTTTCTCTATTTCTTTCCTGTGCCGTCTAGCTCCTGCTGGAGCATCTGGAGTGTCTCGTGTCTCGTCACGAGCGCTCTCTGAGGATGACTGTGGTGAAGAGGCAGGCTCAGTCTCCTGCTGGAGTCTCCAGTGAGGTGGAGGTGCTCAAGGCCCTCAAGTCCCTGTTCGAACACCATAAAGCCCTGGACGAAAAGGTCAGCAGCCCTTCCCCACTCTCTCCTGTCCTACACTGTCAGCATGATGATAAATCTAAATATCTGAAGTTTTCCGAACACAGCTGTTGTTTGATTTCTGTTTTCATTGTGTTGTGCTGGTTAGTCCTGCTCATAATGAAAACAGTGGCCTAAAGCTCCAAAAATTACAAAAAGCACCATAAAAGTATCACAAAAGTAGCCCATATGACTCATGTACTGTATTTGAAGTCTTCTAAAGCTATACAATAGCTTTGTGTGAAGGGAAATAACAAAATCTAAGCCATTATTTCACTGATGCAAAAGTAGTTTCATTTGGTCCCTTCAAGACCCGAAAAACATAACCTATTAATTCTGTTTTAAAGTGCCCCTATTATGGGTTATGAAAGGTTCATATTTTGGTTTTGGGAGTCCCCAACAACAGGTTGACATGCATGCAAGATCAAAAAACACTTTCATTGTCTTATAATATGCATTTATTTTTACCTTATTTGCTCAATGACTCCCAAACGATTCCTTTAACGATTCTTTTTTCCAAACCCCTCCTTTGTGTGACGCTAATCTGCGGTGATTGGTCGATTGGTCTCATTTTCATTTCATCATGAGCCTGTAATGCCTGATAACACAGCGTTTGTGAGCAGTGCTGCTTTGTGTACAGCGTTACTGGGGAAACAGCTATTTTTACCGCTCCAAAAGCGGCATCTAGTGGCAAAGAATGAATTTGCATTTTCATTCAGACCAACCTGAAAAGACTAACAAGTGGGCGGGCAATATGCAAATGTCAACATGAAACGGCTTGGGATTCGTTTTAAAAACGACTCGTTTCAATGATTCAGAGTCGACTCTTTCTTTTGAGAGACAATAACTTTATACACGGTGCACTTTCAGATTTAAAACTTTGCAGGATGTTTTCATTCACTTAGAGCTGTGTTACACACTGCATGAAAGGTAATTTTCAAAAATCCATAATAGGGGCACTTTAAGGCACAGCTATCAATGAAGCAGGAAACCTTCTCATATTGCACTTTATGAGTTCATTACGAAGTTTTCAAAGCAGTGTTTAAACAGTCAGACATCTACAGAATTACTTCGTCTCTTCATAGAGGTGAGAATTTTTTTTGGACAGGTTCTCCCTGTTGATTCATTGTCTATTGTTCTTCTCTCTCTCCCTCAGGTGCGTGAGAGATTGCGTGTGGCTTTAGAGAGAGTTGCTGTTCTAGAGGAAGAGCTGGAAACATCCACAAATGAGGTGAACATCATACTTTTGCAATATATTTTGTACCTCCTTTTCTCTCTGTATGTGGCACGCTGGCCTTGCATGCTTAGATTTGTTCGCTATACTTAGGTTCTGTCTTTACGGGATCAGATTAAAAGGAGAGAGCGGGGTTTGGACAATGGAAAGGAGGTGAGTCAGAACTATTTGGATATTGTTTTGAATCTTTTGAATCTTTTTTTTCTCATGTTCCTCTGTTTTTCCCACAGCGGCTCCCGAATGGCCCCTCCTCCATCTTGGATGATGGCGAGATTGACAGACAGAGAGACGGAGAGATAGAGAGACAGAGAGCAGAGCTTTCACAGTTAAAAGAAAGACTGGCACTCATGTGCAGACAGGTGAGTGTTGCACTGCTGCCTATAGAGCGGGCATTTTAAGGAATCGTAGGCACACTCTCAACAAGGCAAGTTGATTCAAAAGGAAGCCAAATTCTAGCCAAAGAGAGAATGCAAAACCATAATGCAGGGGTGTCCAGCCTTCCCCAACATACTGGTCTGGAAGTTTCTAGGAATACTGAAAACCCTTGTGTGATGAGTGGGGGTGGGGCCGAGAGCCGTGGGAACGGAGCGAGGCCGGTGGAGTAATTGATAATGAGCAACACCTGCACCACTCACCGGTCTCGAGTCCCACGGAGGAGCTCCGGAAGGATAAAAGGAGGAGTTACGACAGTGAAAGACGAGAGAGGACCAGGCCTGGACTTTATTTTGTGTTTTGGTTCTGTTTGTGCGCGACAGTCGTCCGCGAGGGGCTGTCGCACTATTTTGTGTTTATTTTATTATTAAAGTTTTCTTTGAACGTTCGCCGGTTCCCGCCTCCTTTATTGGACACCGGTCCAGAAAATGACCCGGGTCCCCGCATCTCCAGCAGGCTCTGGCCTCCTGGCGAACGGGGCCGACTCCTTCGCTCCCTCTCGGACGGCAGCCACCCCTCCTCGACCCAGGAGCGCGGCAGCGAGCTCGCCGTCCCACCTCGTCTTCCATCGTTCCAGCACCACCGCCTCGGGCAGCCACGGCCACAGCATGTAACTTTTAACAAGATTCACTTGTTTAAAACACCCTAAATTGTATTAACATTTACTATATAACTGTAACAACATTCGTAGGTCAGGAAGAAGGAGGCGGGAACCGGCGAACATTTAAACAAAACTGTCACGCACAAACAGAACCAAAACACAAAATAAAGTCCAGGCCTGGTCCTCTCTC